AATGCCTTATACCTATCTATCCCTACAGCTTTGGTATCATCAATATCAAAAGGTGCTTCTTTATTTTCCTTCAGGTAATCTCTGCACGCATGTCCCTTTGTTGCTGTATACTAGGACTTGGTCCTTGTCTCATGAAGTTCAGATAACTGCTATCAACATGCTTCTGCAACATTCTTTCATCAGCACTCTTTAATATAGAGATATTATTAGAACTGGCCCTAGATTTCATAGAAGCAAAAAATCGGGCATTTATTGGGTTTGAGCCATTCATCTGTGGAATATTCTATTATGTACCCGAGTTTAGCAGCGGGTACCCGAAGAGTGGAGCTTGCAAATGATGATATTCATGGAGTACTGGTATTATACGGGTCTAACCCAAATTTTACTGGGCCGAACAGAGTTTTGACTCCGACGCAAGAGAATGACACAAAGCCTCAAAATTGTCAAAATAACACGGTATAGTCAGTTTTCGGACCGGTCATTTAAAAATAGGCAGCGTTTATCAAGTCAATGAAAAATAGCTACTATTTTGCTGCAACAGAGACCGGTCCAGCATAATATACTGGAGTTCGGTGCACCCGTGTAGGAACTCCAGCATATTATGCTGGACCGGTATACTTTGCCGGCTCCAGTATAATATACTGGAGACTGGAGCATCGGTGCTCCCAACTCCAGTATATTATGCTGGACCGGTATACTTGCTGGAACTCCAGTATATTATGCTGGAGTTCTAGTGTACTTATGCTGGAACTCCATCATATTATGCTGGAGTTCCAGCATACTTGTCCTGGAACTCCAGTATAATATGCTGGAGTTCAAGTATACTTATGCTGGAACTCCAGCATAATATACTGGCGTGTTTTCCGGGTTTTGAATAATGTTTTCACTCAAATTTATATTTATATGAAAAGTGGCTAAATTTCGATTACTTTTGAAATTGGGCTATTTTTGAACGACCATTTGTAAATCTGGCTATTTTTAAATTTCTCCCCACAAAATTTGGTTCATTGTGGGTGCACGGGACGGGCATTGCCAATGCCATAGCAAAGATTGTAAAGTTCTCTTTTTTCCTCTAAATTTGCTTGGAATAATTTATTAAAAAAAGTTGGTTAGGTTGGAATGAAGTTGGGCAACTCAAGATTCTAGAAACATTTTCTTTGTAAATCAAAGATCTTTCTTCTTCAGGTTCAAACAAAATTTCCCAAAAAAAAATCAATTTCATAGAATACAATCC